TAACCTAATGAAAATGTATAATGGGGGCTCTATGAAAAGATTGCGTTTTGTCATCTTCATCTTCTTTGAGCCCCTGTCTGTTTAACTCTTTATTTTATAAAGATCATTGTAAAAAAGTATAGTTTATTTTATATACTGTATATACAAAAACGGTGCTTGTTGACAAGATTTTACAGTCTTCTTTGTTATACGGACATATTTCTTTCTTTCCTGTATATATATGTGTTGATTATATTTGTTAAACAGCAAAATAAATGTAAAAAAAAAAAAAAAAAAAAAAAAAAGCTGTGGCCAAAATTTAAGGGTTTTTTTGTTCCCAGGTTCCAATCATCGCATTTTTTTTTTGCATAGCATCCTTTTTTGACATAAATATAAACATATAAAATTTTGGTGTTTGCTCCATGCCAGGAAGTTAGTTATCTCAAATAACAAAAAATGCTGGATCCGCCTCTGTATATATTTTGTTTTTGTTTCGGTTATTCGGGCAAATTTTTTGATTTGTTTTGATTTCGTGGAAAAAATCTCTACAATAGTAAAAGTGCATAAAGATGGTCGCCGAATATGGCTAATTAATTAAAATAAACAGTTACTAAAATTGAAATTTTTATTATCTAAAAAAGTTCTTAAAATTATAAAGTCAAAACTTTTTATTAGGAATGATTGGTTTTAGAATTAAATATTTTTTATAAATTAAAGTTCTTTTTTATCTATATTCTTGGTTCAGATTTATGGATTTAATTTATTTGAGTTGAATTTTCTGATGTTGTTTGGAATAACTGATTGAAATGTTCTAAATTTTGATGGTTTTTATTTTAATAGTTTTCAAAAACAACAAGTTTTATAATATCTAACTGCACTTTTTTTACCTAACTTAAAGTATCGTTTACTACATTTAATTTATTGTAATTGTATTTTTTAACAACTAATATTAAACTTAATGTTAAATGAAAACATTAGTTCTTCTGAGAAGAACTAATGTTTTAATTTTATAAATTCGAATTCACAATAATTATTGGTGTAAGTAATATAAACCAGGACAGTTGCAACTTTGGCAATTGTCTTTGTTTATATTACTAACTTTGGTAATCCTACAGTTACGCGGCCTATAATAGAATATAGTTGAAATAATAAAAGAAAAAAGATTGCTGCCCCATGCCAAACCCTCAGTCGATGTAGCAGCACTTCCTTGTAACAGCAGGCTATAAGATAGTTGATGTAGCAGCACTCTGTTGCGAGTCAGGCTATAAGATAGTCAATGTAGGAAAACCCCCTGGTGCAACAAGCGCAAAAATATAATTATTTTAGGCCACCTAACTGTAGCTTTACCCTAACTTTACCTCATCTTTTTTCAAATTTAATTTTTTCAGTACCTTTGTATTATAGCTATGAGCAGCTAGTGATTTACAGTGTTGATATTAGATTTTTTTTTGTTTTGTTTAAACTGTTTTCCCTGTTTTAGTGTACCACTTACTTACTCTAATTGAGAGCTAATTGAGTTAAATAATAGTAATGATAATAATAGTCATAATAATAATGATAATTAATAACTTTGAAAAATATTTGGCGATGAGTTTTTAACTTAGCTCCTGAAATTATTCACTGTTGATGCTCTGATGGTTGATTCTGGTAGATTATTCCATGCTTTTACTATTCAATTTGTTAAGAAATGTTCTCTAATTTGGCATTTAACTAAATTAGAGTGTTCAACAGAACACATAAACTATGTTTAAATTGATTCCTATTTGTATTGGCAGCTGGCCCAGACAACAATAATGATGCAAAATATTTAGGTGGATTCTAACCTGAGATGTGTTCAATATGATGGAAATTTATAAAGTTGAATTAAATCATCATGTTTTCTTCTTTTGGTTAATGTTGTCAAATTCATATCAACAATTTTAATGTAAGGATTCTATACTTGAACAGCAAAATAGAGATGTGGTTTTACGTATGCAAAATATAGCTTCTTTAAAGAGTCGCATGTTCTATAATTGAAAGCTTTGGCAATAATCCCAAGTTTACTATTTGCTCTTGAAGCTGCTGCTCTGATCTGCATAGTTCATTTAAAATTATCTGATTTCAAAACTTTTAAATCTCTTTCAATGTTTGTTAATAGTTTGATCTTACTCTCATTATTAGTCATGTAGTAATTTGCATTAATTTACATTTATAAATATTGAAATTCATGTTAAATTTATGTGTCCATTCTGCTAACTAATCGAAATTGTTTTGCATAACAATAAGTTTTTTATTATTTGGTATTATTACTGTTTTTTATTATTATTATTATTATTTTCATATATTTTTAAAGTGTTTTCTCAATTTGTCAAATAGAATTCGTTTTACGATCTTGCAGGGGATTGAAGTTAAAACAACAATAGTTAAAAGGTTTACTTCCTTTTTTAAAACAAGGAGTTATTTGCTTCTTTTCGTTCTTCTGGGATCAACACAAAATATGTATTGAATAGCTTGTTTTAAATAATACAATATTATTAATGTTTCTATTTGTTCTAAATTTATATTTGTTTAGAAAAGAATTGGCTAACTTAACTAATTAGCTACTGATTCTTATTCAAAATGAAAAAATCACAGGCACATGATTTTTTTTTTTTTTTTGCATCGATTTTGTAATATTTTTAAGGCATATTTTATCGAAAATGTGAATACAAGGCAAGAGAAAAACAAATGCCAAACTAATGACATTGTATGGGAATAAAGACCCATCCATATTCCCATACAATGTATAGTTTCAAAATTTTCCTCTTAGTAGAATATATAGTTAAAATAAATGTTAACATCCTTATAAAACATATTACAAACAACTTAAATAAAGTAATATTAATTAGCAAATAAATGTACTAGAAATTAGAAATTTAAAAAACTTATCTGATATAATTATAAAAAAACCATCATAACTTTGTTTATTTTACATTTTAAAATTTGTCTTACCAAAACACTTGTTTTTATAAAATCCATCACAATATCTTGGAACATAATGGATTTAAGGTTACATCATCGCTTTATATAGTAACCAAAAATTCACTTTAAGGTTACATCATCGCTTTATATAGTAACCAAAAATTTACACACAAAATTTAGAATGTTTAGCAACCATGTTGCTAAGCATTCTAATTTGTTTGGTAGTAAATATGTAGCTTTTACATGAATTGATTGAAAGATTCTTATTCAAATTATTTAGTATATCTTAACTTGTAACGCATCATATGTGCAGCTTTTTTTTTTGAAAGTTTATTGTCAAGAACTGTAATTATATTTTTAAAGCTCAATTAATTCTTGATAAGTGGAAAAGATTTAGCACCACTTAGAATAAATAAGACATTTATTTATCTGCATCTGTTTTATCAGCTGTTATAATATTCATTTTTAACATTGTAACCAGCTCAGTTAATGGTTAATTTAAAATGATAATTAAAAAAACTCACTTTTAATGTTTGCATAAAAAATTTAAATTAATTAACTTTAAAGAAATTAAATAAAAATATATTTAAAAAACACTTGACAAAATGATGACTTGTTTTTCTGATTTCTTTTGTTTCTTTTATAATTTTTTTTTTTGATTTTCTTACTTTTATGAGTTTCACTTTTTTTATGAATTATTTTTTTTATGCAGCTTTTCTTTTAAGATCTTCTATTAGGTTTATATATATTTTTGTTGTGTAAAAAAATACAAATTGTGTTTAAGTTTGTTTGTTTATCAAATGTTAAATGTGGAACAAGCTTTTTTTGTGTTATTTCAAAATCAATAGAGTAAAATGGGGTAGAACTGAACACCGGAGAAAATTGAACACTTATGAAAATAGTTATAATTTGACTAAATTTGGTTTTAAACAAAATTATTCTAGTTCTATAATATAGAGTGTTATTGTGATCTATCTAATGACTTAAAAATAAAAAAAAATTTAATTAATAATTTTTTTAGCAAACTCATAAGTTTGAACATGAGTATTAATTTTTTTAAATTTTATCATTATGCTGTTGTAAAAATCTCGGAAAAATAAGGAAATAACATTAAAGTAAAAATATGTATTTGTAATAAAAGTTATGCTGATCAAGAATCTTTTTTCAGAAATAAAATTGTAATTTTCTAAAAACAGCTATAACTGAATCACTGAAAAAGTCATATTTTCGGGTAAAACTGAATGCAAGTATTTTTTGAACTTATCTTATAATTTAAAAAGCTAACATTTTCCTGTACAAATCTTTGCTATAATTTACTTTTCACTACTTCATGTACAGATCAAAATCAATTTAAAAAAATTAAAATAATAATTAATTACTAATACTTTGACACGTTCAGTTTTACCCAAATTGTCAGGTAAAACTGAACACTTTTATTTTTAAATAAACTTATTTTACTAAAGAACTTGAAGAAATTATTTTCTTTTTTAACATATTCGAATAGAGCTCATTTTTCTCAACAAAAATTAAAAAATTATTAAAAAAATCATTTAATTATATAAAAAAAATTAATTATAAATATAAGTGTTCAGTTTTATCCCATTTTACTCTACTGTTTAATTTAAATAACAATTTTAAAAAAGACAGTTCAAGTTATAAATTAAATGACAGTTATAAAAACGATATTCTAAATTAGAAACTAAACAACAATTATAAAAATGACAGCTTGAAAAAAAGTCTGACAATGACAAATGACAAGTTATAAACTAAACAACAGTTGTAAAAATGACATTTTTAATTTGAAACTAAGCAACAAATATAAAAATGGTGGTCTAAGTTAGAAACTAAACAATAATTATAAAAATGACAGCCTAAATTAAAAGCTAGAAACTATCAATTTTCATGAGCACGTTTTTAAAAATGTTCAAAAAGTTTCAATTTATTTACTAATCATAGAGATTTTCTTTAATAATTTTTTTTTCTTTTCCAATTTCAGGCTTTAGTATTTCCAAAGATACAGATATATAGTAATTTTTAACTTAACATAATAATTATTTTTAGTCTTGTAACCAAATAATCTAATATCTTATTTATAAAACTTTTTAGCAAGTGTTTAGTTATGCAATCTTTAAGTGAAGGAATTCGCCAACGTAAAACTATATCTAAAGGTTTTAAAGATTTAGATGCATTTCCTAAAATACCTGAAAGTTATCAAGAGACTTCAGCAAGTGGTGGAACTGTTTCCATTTTGGTTTTTTTATTTATTTCTATGCTAGTTATATCTGAATTTATATATTATAGTGGATCCATTTTAACTTACAAGTATGAAGTTGATAAAGAAGCTGATAACAAGTTTCGTATAAATATTGATATAACTGTTGCTATGGAATGTGATGACATTGGTGCTGATGTGCTAGATCTTTCTGGAGGTAATGTTGATACAGGTGAAAATCTTCATTTGACACCTGCTCATTTTTCAATGAGTTCAAATCAAAAGCAGTGGTGGGATGCATTTCGATCAGCTCGCAAAAGTGATGAAGGGTATCGATCCATCAATAAAGTAACACAGATTGATATGATATTTGGTGATGTAATGCCAACATATATGCCAGATGAAATAGAATCTGAGTTTGAAGGAAAAGAGTTTGATGGTTGTAGAATATACGGAAATATTGAAGTAAATAAAGTTGCTGGAAATTTTCATATAACAGCTGGGAAATCTATTCCTCATCCGCGTGGCCATGCTCATTTAAGTGCTTTAGTTTCTGAACTAAATTACAATTTTTCTCATCGCATAGACATGCTTTCTTTTGGGGAACCCCATCCTGGTATTATAAATCCTTTAGATGGGGATCTTATGATTACTACCACCCCATATCATATGTACCAATATTATATAGCAATTGTACCCACAACAATTCAAACTTTGAAAAACACAATAAAAACAAATCAATACTCAGTAACTCAAAGGTCTCGTCAGTTAAACCTTAATTCTGGATCTCAAGGTGTACCAGGTATATTCTTTAAATATGATTTTAATGCTATATCAGTATCTGTAAACGAAGAGCGTCGTTCTTTTAATGAGTTTCTTATTCGATTGTGTGGAATTATTGGCGGTGTTTTTGCAACATCTGGAATGCTACACTCAGCTATTGGTGCGTTAGCGGATATTATATTATGTCAGATGAGGCAGAAAAGAGGCAAAATGTTTCAAACAGCAAATAATGTACAAAAAGAACAATTTGAGGGTAAAACTCCATTTGTACTATTAAAACATGACAACATTAACTCACAACATGTATCTTTAGTTCAGCAATAATTTATACTTTATTAGCTGCTATTTGTTTTATTTATTTTTTAATTATAATGGTTATTTTGTTAGTTTTATATCCTACAGTAGTTAATTTGCCCAATAAAACTTTCTATTATTTATTTAAATACTACTATTGTATTTTGTTTCTTTCTTTTGTTTTGATATGATGTTTTCTGTATATTATAATATTGTTTATTATTATAATATTAGAGTGGTTGAAAAAACAATGTTTTTTGAAAAGTCTATACACATACAACATAATGTGTTAAATTGTATAAAAAAATGAAAATATAGATTTTTAAAGCTGACACATAAAAATTATTTATAAATGTTACTTTAAGACCTTTACAAAGTTAACAGGTTTATAAAGTTATGATTTAAATATATAATAATAATAATAATAATAATAATAATAATAATAATAATAATAATAATAATAATAATAATAATAGATCAGTTCTGATTCTTATAATAAGCAAAATTAAAAAAAAAAGTTGTCACAAATAGTTTTTAGCTCATATTAAAATCAATATTTTAGATTAATAGTTTTTAAATAATGTAATTTTAATTATAGTATAAACGAAACTTTAAATGAACTATAATATAACTGAAAATAGTGATAAAAAAAAGACTATAATTTTTTTTATTTATTTCAGATATTCTTTTAAAATATTGTTTTTAAACTAAAGTTGTGTGTGCATATACATTATATATATATATATATATATATATATATATATATATATATATATATATATATATATATATATATATATATATATATATATATATATATATATATATATATATATATATATATATATATATATATATATATATATATATATATATATATATATATATATATATAACCCTCAGAATTAGGAAAAATGAGGTCAGCAATAATTTGCAGACTTGAATCTTTTTGAAGTCAGTATCAGGTCGGCAAAAATTATTCGATACAATGTGTGTGTAAATTATTTTTTAATTTACTTGTTTGATGTATTTTTATTTTAGAAGTAGTCTAAACATGAATAAAACACAGTGGTTGCTTTGTATTTGTGGATTTCTGGTGAGGTATTTTATAAATATAAAAGCATTACTAATGATTAACTAATTAATAATAAATACATAACAGTTAATAATAAACACACAATAATTGATTAATAAACAATAAACAGACCCTTTTGAAATAAAAAAAAAAAGTCAGAAATGAAAATTCACAAAATTTTTTAGCAGTTATCCTTTAAGACTGATACAGAGAAACAAGTTATGCGGTAGTGGTGTAGTGGTAGAGCGCTCGCTTCATAAACGAGTGGTTCCGAGTTCGATCCCCACCACGTCCCTGGCAGTACCGCGCTCAACTCGTTTCTCCGCGCAGCGGCCTTGCTCGTCAAGGTTCGTGTTTCGGAGTTATAGAGTTGAGAGAGGGTTATAACCACAAATAAGTAGCCTCCTCGTCTGTAGTGGCCTTCTCGGCCTTGAGGAGGTGAATTAAAATAAAAAAAAAAAAAAGTGAGTGCAGTACTGCCGAGATGCAGTAGGGATGAAGCTTAGTACTTCTTGCAAAACAAGCACTCTACCACTGCAGTACTAGTATTGCTTAAAAAATTGTGTTCAAAAAAAAAAGGTGGTGTATAGTACAATGAACACACTACAATTTACACTATAAGTTTTTGTATGTGTGTGATTTGGATTTTAATTTATTTAATAAGTTTTATTTAAATGAATCATTTTAATGGTTCTGTTACTACATAAAAAATTATAAACAGCATTTTCTACTATTACTTATTGACATTATCACTTATGGTTTCATGATTCATAGTTTAGAGTGTTCAAATTTGCTTTTGAAAATTAATTTCTTGAGAATAATTTGAAAATAAATGCAATTATATTTGTATAAAGACTTTTATTTTTTGGAAAATGTTTTAATTATTTTGCAGGTTACGATTAATCAATATGTGTGAAGCTGGAGTTATGATTTGTTTTCCTGATTTCTATATGCTTATACATATTCACATATATTTGATAGCCTTCAAGTCTTTGTTGATTGCTTTCTTATTGTCTTCTTTATTTTTTAAGTAACTTCTGTTATAATAATGACTGGCGGCTATCTAGTTGAGAACAAATTTGTATATATAAAAAATAAATGTTGATCAAACTAATTTTGATTGCAACAATAATTTTGATTTTTCACAATAATATTTGAATTTTCAGTTATTGCAATCTTTAGTTGTAGGCTAATGCTAATCTGAATTTTTTTTCCATTATTTTTTTAAAGGATTTATTCTCTGTGGCTCTCTTCTTCCCATTATTTGTACATCATGCAAAGAACCTTGGTGCATCTCCTAGTCAAATCGGATTGTTTAGTTCAGTGTATGGAACAATCCAGTTGTTTAGTAGTCCTTTTATGGTAATTTTTTTTTTTAATAATGAAAATTATGAAGTCATGTTTAAGCAGTTTAAAATAATAGTTTATAATTGGTTTTTAACATCCTATGGTACAAGTGTTTTTGCAATATGTTAGCATATTCTAGAAATAGAGCGGTCGGTGTTAAAAAAGTGTGTATATATATATATATATATACAAAAAAAATTATTTTATCATATTATATATATATATATATATATATATATATATATATATATATATATATATATATATATATATATATATATACATGTTTAGATGAAATGCATATATATATATATATATATATATATACATGTTTAGATGAAATGCATATATATATATATATATACATGTTTAGATGAAATGCATATATATATATATATATATATATATATATATATATATATATATATATATATATATATATATGTATATATATATATATATATATATATATATATATATAATATGAATGAATGTTTAGATAGTAACAAAAATAGGGTGACAATTTGTTATCTAAACACTCTTGTATTTTACTTCCTATGGTACAAGTTGAATCATTAATAACATCTCTTATGTTTTTCATTAGTAAAAAAAAAAATTATTTTAACTTTGTCTAACAAATTTAGCAAAATAGAAAACATTATAAGGATGCACACGAAAAATCATAATTAGAATTTCTTCTTTTTCTTTTTCTATACTTTTTTTTTTCTAAATAAAAAGAAGTATAATGAAAAATGTTTAAAACTTAAAAAAAACATATTTTTTTAAACATTCAACTAAATTAAATTTTACTGAAAATCGAGTAAATAAACACTATACATTTTAAAAGTTTTTTAGGTAACAAGATATAAATATTGAGATCATAGGATTGTCTGGACCATATAAATTTAGAAAAGTAGAAACTGAGCACAAGCTAGGTTAAAAACATATGTTTATATTTGTCCAATTATTTAATTCAAGACATTGTCAATAGCCTTTTTTCATCAGAGCCCCAAGTCAGGTAGGTATTTTAACCCAAATTTAATTTTTCCTTGGAGAATCGAAGTCATACAAGGAAGGAGGAGATGTGGCAGCTTATACTAGGTTAAATTTTACCAGTAGCAATATGATCATGGTGATCCTAATTCTGATCTAAAGTTTAAAATTTGGATTTATATTTTTGAACATTTTAATAACCAATTAATCATTCGACTGAACTTTGGTTTATTGGACCAAACAATTAACATGTAACAGCTAAAAATCCGGACAAACTTTGAAAATGAATATCTCTTGAATGGAGTTATCAATTTCTTAAATTTAAAAAGAAATGAACAAAAAATTTGTATTTTACAATATTAAAAAAAAAAATTATTTGTTTATCAGTCCATTTCGTCGAACGCAGTCAACTCTTGTAGAGGTACTCGCCTTGGGCCTATGTCTGTAATTTTGATCCATTTTTGCATGCAATCCTCTTCATCTATTAGGCTGGTGCAGGTATATTTTTAATACATTGTTTCTAGTTTAGGATGTTGAATGTTGGATCTTCTTGACTCGATGCATGAGATTTGCTTGTGTCTCTGTTTTTATTACTAGGCAACTCATTCTATTATCTCCTAATGAGGGTACAGCTCTAAAACTCAGTTTTATGGTTCTGAGGCCGGCTGTTAGTCAGGTTTCCTGAACTCTGTGTTCGTTCTCAGAGAGGCTGATTCCATCAACACCTGAAAAATTCTTCTGTTGAGTCTTATCTCTTGCAAAGTTCACCAGAACTACTTTCTCTTTGTGAGACTAATTTAAGTTCAGCTGTCTCATCTTGTGATCTTAGTGTTGATGGTTATCTTCCTTTAATTCGTAAAGACTCCAATAGTCATATGTTTAGCATTTAGATTGGTAAGAATTCATCCATTTGTCAGGAAACTAGGTTTTAATCCACACACTACTCTTTTTTTGTGCTTTCGTTTAGCACCACTTCACTCTATCACCTTTCTCTTTGTTCTATATCACTCTCCAACTCAAGACTGCACTCTTGATGTTTTTTCTGATCATATTAACCAAGCTCTCTCTCTTTATCCATCAGCCAATATTGTTGTTGTCGGTGACTTTAATGTTCATCACACTAAATGGCTTGCCTCTAGTGCCAGTGACTTTGCAGGCATTAAAGCCCACAACTTTTGCCTTTCTCAATTCCTAACTCAAATAGTCAACTTTCCAACTTGCTTTCCAGACAAGCCGAATCATTTACCTTCTCTACTTGACTTATGTCTTGTTTCTGATCCTAGTCAGTGCTCAGTTTCTCCACATTCACCCTTAGGTGCTTCTGATTACAGTTTGATCTCTCTAAAACTATTATCTCATTCTTCTTTATCATCAGAATTCCCCTATCATCGTACCTCTTACAACTACCTTAAAGCTGACTGGGACTCTTTCTGTGATTTTCTTCGTGATGACCCTTGGGTAGAAATCTTTCGTCTTCCTGTTGACAATTGAGCTTTTTACATAATTTTGTGGATTCAGGCTGGCATGGAATCCTTTATTCCCTCTTGACAATTTCAGGCCAAGCCTCACTCTTTTCCAAGTTTTCCGCTGCTGTATTTGCCAATCGAAATTATTATTTCCATATCTATCTGCAAAATATTTCTCCAGAAGTGTTTATCAGAGTCTTGTTTTCCAGCCTGCTCGAAAGCAGCATTTGTTATCCCTATTTTTAAAAATTCTGGAGAGCGATCTGATTCGTCTAGTTACTGTCCCATTAGTCTTCTTCCTATCATAAGCAATGTTTTTGAATTTTTAATTAACAAACACTTAGTCTCTCATCTTGAATCTAATAACTTACTTTCTGATCATCAATATAGACTTTGATCTTCTCGTTCTACAGCTGATTTGCTAAAAGTAATAACCGATAGATTTTATCGTTTTTAAATTATATTAACAATCCTCCAGATATTCTCACATCTAAGGTGGCATTGTTCGCTGATGATACTACCATTTATTCTTGTCATGATAAGAAGCCAACTCTCTCTGATTGCTTGGAGGGGATATTTGAGCTTGAAAAGGATCTCACTTCTGCTACAACATAGGGTTCACAGTGGCTGATGAACTTTAATTCAGATAAAACTCAATTTTTTTCAGCTAACCATTATTGTAATAATATAGACCTTCCTATATTTATGAATGGTAACGTACTTGATAAGTCATCTACCCTTCATCTTGTTGAATTAACTCTTACTTCTGATCTTTCTTGGAAACCATATATCAAATCCGCTGCAAAATTAGCATATGCTAAAGTTGTATCTCTTTATCAAGCTCGACACTTTCTTACTCTGGATTCTATCTCTATAAATCTCAAATCCGGTCTTGTATGGAATACTGTTGCCAGATCTGAAGCGGATCTTCTAATGATGCCCTTTCTCTTTTAGACAAGGTGCAAAAACGCATTGTACACATAGTTGGACCTGCTCTTGCAGCCAACCTTCAACCATTATCACATCAGGCTTTCACTGGAAGACATGCGATTTCACATCTTTATATGACCACGCAAGTTACATTTTGCTATGACGGTTTGACCGCGGCTAATTCAAAAAACATTTTAGAAATGCACTAAATAAAAAATATTCTAAAAAAGTAAAATTAATTACATCAAAACCTCTTAAAAATGTTTTTATATTAGCGATTTTAAATAAAGTAACAATTTACTGAAAAAAAGTTTTGTTTTTTAAATATAATTGACAGTTGTATATATTTTTTTGATTTTAAACATATAAATTGTTTAAGTGTTCATTTCTAAAATAAATCTTATTAAAAAATAAAAAATTGTTTTGTTTTTATAAACGGTGACATTCTACGACTACGAAAGTCTCTTTAACGAATTTAAATATAAGAATGATTAAAGTTAATGCATTGAAAAAGATAAACAAAATTTCGTTAAAAAAAAAAGTTTAGAAAACTGTTACAATTTGATAAGTTTGATCTTAAATGTTTTTATATTATCGAAATGCTTTTAATGAAGTAAAAAAAAAAACACCTAATTAATTTAAAAAAAGTATTAATAAAATATTTTTTTATTTTATTTATATAACTATGTATTTTTTATGAGAAGTATTTAACTTTTGAACATATTAAATAAATAAAAAATATATAAAAATGTTGAAACAAAGATTGAAAAGGTTTTTTAATGCGTAAATTAAATAGACTAAGCATTTTAGTTTAATGAGTTTTGTTTTAGTTGCATTATATATATAAGTTTAGGTAAGTTTTTGTAGCGCGTTTTTAAATTTTAAAAATATGCTGTGGTCAAATGGTTAAAACATTTTTTTTTTTGCGTGGTCATATAAAGACATGAAATCGCACGTCTTCCTGTGAAAGCCTGTCACATCGTCGTAATGTTGCTTCTCTTTCTCTTTTTTACAAATACTATAATGCGCACTGCTCTAAAGAGCTAGCATCTCTTGTGCCATCTACTAAAATTCATTCTCGTGTTACTCGTCATTTAATCAAGTCTCATCGTTTATCTGTGACTGTTCCTAAGTGCTCCAAAAACTCTTATTCCTCTAGTTTTTTTCTTTGAACATCAGTTCTTTGTAATTCGCTTTCTTTATCTTGCTTTCTTGATTCATATAATTTGCAATCTTTTAGCTCATCTGTTAATTGTTATCTTGCTCTACAATCTTCATCTTTTCTCTTCCAGTAACTTCCAACACTAATTCGTGGTTGCTTACAGCCTTGTTGGAAGCAAAGTTGTTTGAAAAAAATAAAAAATACTTTATTTGATTTCTTAGTTAGTGGAGATTTTTAGCTTGATGATTGTCTGCACACACCAATCATTAATTTCAGTCCAAAAATCCTCGATCGGGTTTATGTCTCTTGGAACATATTTGATATTTTTGCATTTTAGATCATCTTGATTTTGTTTGAATAGTGTGCGTAGGCTAGATCAGGCCAGAACACCATTTTGTTGTTTTTATGAACCTTGTTGATGAACTTTTTTAATTTAACCAGGCATTTGGATATGTACACATCCT